CTACTTGATAGAAACGGAAATCGGAAACACAGGAAGAACAGTCGATGGCCGTAAAGTGAATTGTAACGGATATGATGCTCAAATTGACTACTGTTCTTCATTGATAATGATCAAGGATAGAGAGCTATGATTTCACTCTAGTTGCAATGGAAACATGTGGTCAATATACGGGTTCTCGAAACTTACTTGTGATGCGAGAAGCTTGTACACGCCCTCTAACTTCTGAAGTAACAAATTCCCATCAGTAATGCACAGCCCTCGAATCAAATGACGGTCGAACCTGGGGCCTCACAGATGACTAGAAACAAACATTTATTCGACCACATGACAGGTTTTCATTTTGTCTGTGCACGATATAACAGCCAATTTTCGCAAGCTTGTTGCGAGAATCAGACCTCGCTCGTCTCAGCGCTGGCCCACAAGGATTTTACTCAAATGGAAACATTCCGAATCTGACAAATTGCCACATACGAGTAGTGGAGGATGAGTTTCCTAGATTGAAGTGTTTTTGATTCCCTTGGGAAGCTATAGGGAACATGAGCTGGGTTAGTTGATCACAACATGCTCAGATAGATGAGCAGCATTATATCGTGTATATGCAATTCGAAATGGTCTCATTCACTGCTTAGTGATCAAGTGTCTCTTATGCTTGAGTTCAATCTGTGAGGGCCTGGCGCGATGCTCAATCGTGTCGATGGGTATATACCGCTGATTAGGTCTAACCAGGTCAGAACAGCTGTCCGGTGAGTTCTAGATTTTCAGTTCATGCTTCGTTTGCTCTATACACTACTTAAAATATTGACTCCGACTCAAGCCCTGGATCAGTATTTAATTCAGTTTCTATGAATAATCCATGAGAAAAGCTAGTGCGAGTGTATCGGTTAGCTTACATGAAACAAACAGGTTGCTCTGTGTCTGGAACTCTAGACTGATGGATTGAGGGAAAATATTCCAAGGGGAGAACGAGCTAACCAATTCCAACTCGAAGTACTGAGTCCCAATTTGATTATTATTATATTTCACACTTCTCTGAGGACAGATTGTGTGCCAAGCAAATCATGGTACAATAGTCTGAGTCCCAACTGGGAATAGAAGCCCACTGTGGCTAAGATGTGCAGGTTCTGCAACCGGCAATTAGAGGCCATATCGTTATCTATAGAATTTTATATCAAATAACCGAAATACAACTCAACTTGATCAGACAAAATAAAAAATCCTGTGCAATCACTTGAATAAAAAGGTTCCGTTTTCTTCTGTGGTAAACATTAAGAGCGAATGGTATCGGTGTATTGTGCGATACATGTTTTAATTAGCAAAACAGAATACTGGAAGTCTAACCAATCCGGTTACTGCACATGAGATCAAATGGGCTGAATATCCGAAGTTTACCATTACGAAGAGTATGACATCTCGGGAACTATCGAGCAATCGTGAATTGGACGCTGGATAATTGAAGCTTGTGATCTTCGTGACTTTTCCAATACAATTAATTATATTCTTGCATTTTCAATTTTCCACCTGCTGTCATTTAGCTCAGTGAGATTTCAGTCCGAATCACACTGTTCTTAAATTAAGTGTAGGATATAGTCGATGAAAGTGAACCGTTCCTTTTTCTATCTCAATGAGTCCATCTCGGGGCACTTTCGTCATTTTATACCGGTAACCGGATACCAGTATATGAAAATCCAAGCGAGAGAGCACGGTTTAGAGAAGCACGACAAATTTAAATGCAGGAAGTGTTTATCGGTGAACTGCTTTTATAAAATTGTATAATGATATCAAAATAGCAGAAGCCAGATGAGTGACGAAAATGCAGAGTAATAGTAAGTTATGAACAACACCGGTAGGAACAGACACGACGCGGCAGACAGATGGTCGAAAGAACAACCAAAGGGAAGTTGGGCAAGGTTGAGAAACAGACTGAAAGAAACTCTCAGTACTCTTTAGTTGTAGAATGAAACGAGAGAAGGTACACCAAATTCAGTCGAGGCAACAGGAAGCCAGTAATTAACAGGATTCAGCGAAATTCGCACACAAGCAACTCTAGGGACTGTAATCTAAATAATTTTATCGAAATTTTTCATATTCTTACCAGGTTTTGTATTTGACCTTTATTATTGGATGTGGTCCCGGCGATGGAGATGTGGCAGGATAACTAGAAAGGGAAATGTTGCACGAGTTTCGATGAATAATACACTTTACGGCACTCACCTTATGGGACGCTGTTCATTGCATCACAATGTAGCATACAATTCTACGAAATAGTGAAAACGCTTTATTCATGGCGAATATTTGGATCATCCCATTTGGTTTTTCGCAGGCACCAGGCACTGTTGATGATGTTGGGTGTGGGTTTCATTTCTTGGGAGATCGTTAATTCCCACTATTTAAATGCGGTGGGAATGTTTGTGATAACCGGCGTTGCTAATGTTTCCCTCGTTAGAATAAAGACAACAGATTTCATGGTTGGAACTACACATATACATCAGAAGGGAAGGCTGTAGTGAACACAAATACATTGTTCTTGATTATTTGCAACTGTGGTTGCTCAAGAATGAAATAGCTCGACTGATATTTCACGTATGGAATATGAAACGTCCTAAGCGGATGCTCTGGTGTGACAGCACCGTTCTCATTCTCTGAGCAGTGGTTCACTGAAGTTTTGCTTAAAA